TAGTATCCATGGCACGGATATTTGATACATGACTCACAGATGAACTCTAAGGAACTGTGACTGTGGTGATCTTCGCAAGCTCCGGCCGGTTTACCCTTTTGGATAGGGGGCTGGGTGGGCCCCAGAGGCGGTTTGGATGATTTGGAGAGGAGAAAAATCTTGCCCTTACCGAGACTTGAACTCCGACCACTTGGCCGGTCATCCCGTAGCCCGTCTCTACACGGACTGCGCTGAGAACAGGACGATAAAAGTGACTGAAGATGTTGAAAGGGAGAGAGGACCATAAGACCAACATCGTTAACATACAATTCTCTCACTTACCCCCTGATACTCAGGCAACCCAAATGACTTCTATGCTTCACAGGAAATCAACACACGCCTCGTATTACATTCTTATACCTATACCAAACCACCGGCTCGCTTTCTCACTCAGAACATACCACTTTAAGACATAAGATCTGTGTCGAAACGCAGTGTAGTTCAGAGACAGCCCGCCGTTTCGGAGGAACGTACAGCGTACAAGAGTAAGCAAAGCAAGAAAGCAGCACACGCACGTTTCAAGTTGCTTGGCTTACTCTTCGAACCTGAAGACGGATGCGATATGTGTTCTCCGAAACGTCCGGCTCTGTCTGACCTAGGGGGCATTATAATCTAATCTATAATTTTTAAAGTCACCGCTGTGATAACCTCAAATCCAACATCCTGCTTTAAATTATCAATACACTCTCTTTGGACCAAGAGAGAGAGAGATAGAAAGAAAAAAGGAAACCGTGATATCTCACATTTGTTCTGGTGGACGTTTCGAAATATGTAAAGGCAAAATTACCCCTGCCGATCAAGGTGACCGTGCGGTCTAAGTGATGAACAGTCTTCGTCCGCTCAAACACTGGGATCGTGGATTTGAATCCCACTTGAGGCACGGTTGTCTGAGTGCAGGTAGCGGCCTTGCGACGAGCTGATCCCCAGTCCAAGGAGTCCTACCGATTGTGTATAAGATCAAGAAACTGAAAAAGCGGTCAAGGCCCGACAGAGGGCTGTAGAGCCATTGATAGATATCCTTGACTTAATTAATAAGCAGTATTCCATGAAGACACATGGGAGAGTGGGGTTATGGCCGCTTCAGTATTAACCTCGGCGCTATTGGCTGTGCCATAGGTCAAGCGGTTAGTCACTGGCTTCCCACCGCGGCAGCCCGGGTTCGATCCCGGGTCTGGTCAAGTGGGATTTGGGGTGGACAAAGTGGCGCTGGGGCGGGTTTTCTCCGAGTACTTCGGTTTCCCCTGCCAATCTTCATTCCATCAAATTCTCCATCATCATAATCACCCGGGGCAGGTTACAATAGACCAATCAGTGGCCGCCTTGCCGAGTGGACCCTGTTTGACTCCACCCCTCACTAAGAGAATTAAAAAAAACCTCGGCACTAGATAGAGTTAATTGGTTAGCTTCACGCCACTGCCGCTTTACCTCAGGGGAAAGAGGCCTCGGTACGTACTGGCTAGCAGACAGAGAGGGCCCCGGAACCGGTCTGGAGGCTGTGGAGAAAAGTCTCTTGCCCCTGACGCTAATCGAACCTCTATCCCTCGTTGGTCTAGTCACTATACCGACTTAGCTATTCCGAGTATCTTAACAACAAAATTCTCTGAGGAATATATATGCCTATTGTGAAAAATTCCACATCATCAACCACGTGGGCAATGGGCAATAATGTTAAGAATAAGGTATGAGTGACGTCATCATTTCTGACTACCCTTCTCGTTCCTTTTATGGACTATTTTTACGACACTTTCCGAAACATTAACTGCAGTGCGAGGTGATAAGGCGCCAACCCAGAAGGGGCTCTGTCCCCAGGAAGGGGGGAAAGTGTATCGAGCAATAACGGGATCTGCAGGGACATTGCTCAGAAACACAGACAGTGTTTATGAATAGTAACCATGACAAGGCTTTCTGCTGTTATGCTACAACCCGGAAGGTCGCGGGTTCGATTCCCGATGTCATTGCATTTTTCAATTGACCTAACACTTCCAGCAACTTCCCGTGGCTGTCTCCTACCGATCACTGAACTGAACTGTCAAAGTTACTTTACGGTAGTTCGTCTTGGCGTCAGGCCCCTTGAAGCTCACGACCAGAAATTTTTTCCAACTGAACTCTTGCGGTAATAGTCCTTAAGTAACATTCTCTCTGATGAGAGGATGGGTTTGTTTCTTATGAATATGCTTGGCCTTTCCTCAAGTGTATATTTCGCACATATGACATGTTATTGAAAATTCTTCATTTTGCACTACACACTAGTCCTCTGTCAGTACAGGCTTTATAGAGCAGACCATACCAAACTTACGTATCTTACGCTACAACGGCAAATTAATCACTTGAACGGTCGTAAGCTTGACCACCGCCAAGTTTAAGCCTCTTATATTACCTACGTCTGGCTTCGCCTTGTCCTATTCAGCGAACATGTTTATTCTCATGTTCCTGTATGACTTCTGCTTCTTGCCTTCGTTATATGAACTCGGCGCGCACCGCACAGAGACCACCGCCTCGACAGCTCTTCCATTGTTGCTTGCGTTTTTGTTGCGGCCATTACCTAGTAACGGATACTGTTTACAGAGTCATTACCTAACATCGGCTGTTGTATGGCTGCTTATTTCATAGTCGTTTCCTAGTAACGGGTCTACATGCCACAATACACAGGGATAATAAATGTACGACACATTCAAAGGAGTGTTAACAGACAAAATACAGCATTCGGCTCCGAAGACGACACAGCTGCATGGAAATAGTCATTTATTGCAGTCAGTTAAAACCTGTTGAGCCGTAACATTTGTATAAACTTTCGTTGTTTTCCCCCGTATTCATTTCCAGGTCTACGTATTATTGTATGACACATCGAGGCCATGATCTAACCCCATTTCCTACGAATAACACTCACAATTTGCGAATCTTAAACTTAGTCCTTTATTACAATTCAAATATCCACTCCAATCTCTCATGAACACCAATGAAAATGGAAACTGAGGCGTCACCGGTACACATACAAACGCTTTCAGTGTCCAACACACAACACGTTTCGACACAGGTAGGCCATCATCAGGAATACAAACATGTTGACGGAATACTTATAAACTGCAATACTAGCATAATATTTTTGTTGGTTAAAATTACGTCGGAACAGACTCACATAATAGACACGATGCATGGTAACAAAAGACTGCTCTCTCGTTCGTGACCTACAACATGATTTACGTTCATGCAGCTTGTTAACGTTCAACAATTCGTTTGCCATGATAACCCGTAATATGAGTAATTTCATACTTTTCATTACTTTTTTATACTTACGGGTTTAGCTAGGATAGCTCAGTCGGTATAGCGACTAGTTACCGGCTGTACAACCGAGGGGTCGGATTACGAGTCCCGGTAGGGTCAATAATTTTCTCTTCCCCACGTCGTCCAGACTGGCTCTGGAGTCCACCCAACCGCCTATCCAATGGGTATCAGGGACTATTTCCCTGGGGGTAAAGGGACAGGGGCGTGAAGCTGACAACTCCAGCTAGTGCCAAGGTCAAGAAAATGTGGCTGTAGACATCCACTTCTGCATACGCCTTCATGGNGCGACAGGGGCGTGAAGCTGACCACTCCAGCTTGTGCCAAGGTCAAGAAAATGTGGCTGTAGACATCCACTTCTGCATACGCCTTCATGGCTTAGTGCTTAATTCGTTTAAGCATAGGGACAACTTTATCTATGCGTATAGGAAGAGTTTTGAATATTTTAGGGGCGTCTGTCAACACAATCGGCTGAGCTAGGGGGCAGTAACATCAGTGACGTCACTGCACCTAATGACGACAGCGCTGACACGTTTAAGCAACAAGTGTTTAAGGTACTGAGCTGAATGCTAGATGACCCGACTCTCTTTGAGATCACAGAGAATTTCCTTGTGAAATAAATGCTCGGTCAGCTAAGTCTGGTTTCATGTCGCACCCACCCGTTCTCTCAAGGAACAGTGCGCGGAATTTTGTTTAACTGGATGAAGAGATATAGCGCTCAAGCCTGGCATAGTTCTGTATGTTATTTTGTAAGCCGAATTCCACGCATAGCAGCCTTCAGATATTTATACCTGACTTCTAGAAAATGCCCCCTGAAACAAAATGGAGGGGCACCGCCGGAATTGTTCTTTTTATAGGGGAAGGGGGGGGCACCACGTTTCCAGCGGGAGGTGATACAGAATATTTCCAAAGGTGAATCACCAGTTCTGTAAAGACAGAGCCAGAAAATATGCCAAAGAAGTTATTTTTAAGCTGTTTAAAACGAATTATACCGATCGCCATATTGTGCTCAGCTTGCAAGTACATTAAAAATAATTATGTTATGGGTACATACTTAGAGAGATAGGATGGGATGGTATGGATTGGATTGATCTGGCTTAGGATAGGGCCCAGTGGAGGGCTCTTGTGAACACGGTAATGAACCTTTGGGTTCCATAAGATGCTGGGAAATTCTTGAGTAGCTGCAGAATTGGCGTGTCCTCCACAAGGGCTCAGCTCCATGAGTAAGTAAGTAATAGGTAGATAAGCCTTGGTCTTCCCAGTGGTCTCTTTCCTTCTGGCTTTCCAACCAATATCCTATATAGATATTCCTCTTCTCCCCATTCGTGCTACACGCCCTGCCCGTCTCATCCTCCTTGACTTGATCATTCTAATTACACTTGGAGAAGAGTACAAGTCATGAAGCTCCTCATTATGCACTTTTCTCTAACCCCCTGTCACTTCGATCCAAATATTCTCCTCAACACCCTGTTCTCAAACACCCTAACTTCAACCTGATAGTCCTAATAATATATAGTTAGGATTTCACTATCCTAACACCATGCTGTATAAATCAGGGAGCCCCACGCTATGCAATATTGTATGAATTGTCCGCTTCAGGTTTATATCTACTGTCCTGCAAACATGTGACTTGTTCCCTCACAAGCTGCTGTCATGCTCAACACTTGTTTGTCTTTCCACAGGCGGTGCGGGTTGCAGATTGCCTCGCTGAGAGGATATAGAATCTGCCGGCGTTACACTAAGGTATGTTTACATTACAGTAATTGGCTCCTCGCTACCAATATTTACTGTCGCAGCTCAAAGCTGTAGTGTCTTCAAGACTCAAGATTACAACAAGCAGCCGGTTCTTTGATGCTATTCCCCAAGAGAACGCCAGTTCCTTATGCTCATTATTAATATTCATATTTTGGTGAAGAGAATACGTTTGGTGCTTGCTGAAATTCCCAAGCAAAATTGATAAAAACAAACTTTCTCAAGAATACATAACGTCAAAAACTTTATACACGTTCTGAAAAGACAGATACACTTAACACTAAGTTACTGAACTAGATAGAATAATATTATACGTTAAATAAAGCTGCTGTCTAGAGGAAATGTTTTCCGTAAGGCGGACGCTATGAAAAAGACTGAAACATATTGTCACGTGTTTGGGGTTTTGTTTGTGTGACTTTTAAGACGGGTTCTGGATTGGATGATTGAATTTAATGACACCTATCGCTATCGCTGATTTACACACTTTGCAGTTCACCTTTATACACGCAGTAGGATTCTCAGTCTTCACTAGTCGTATCCTGGCAACGGATTTATTACAGTCTGACTGTAACATCAAACCACACATGAAGTCTTCTTGTCAGAGTCTAAATCGTTTCTTGGCATATCTTCTCAGTCACCTCGGACTGCCATCTTCAGAACTCGACCCGTTTCTTGACAAATACTACCTCTATGCTGCTGCTACTGCCAGCTTCTGAAATGCATTGCAAGGACCACACAGAAAACACAGCCTCTATTGTTTAGGAGACGTGTTTACCTATCCGTTACCTAGGAATGGAGGTCCTATTGCTGCCGGCGTTTGATTCCGCAGAATCTGTTTACCTAGACGTTGCCTAGCAATGGGTATATACTTCGCAATATCTTAAAGTGATGTCATCTTCTACTCCTATTTATAAATACTTGTAACTACACGGTGGAAGCCCATAACGCCAGTATAACAATATAAAAGAAAGCCGTAGTCTTCGTCAAGGAAGTTTTCTACGTCTCTCTGTCTCTGGTGCGTTGCTAGGTAACCATAAAGAATACTCACATTTGTGTACATCAGTTTTAAAGATAACGGTAAACTTTTCCTTGTGATTAATTAATTAAGTATCTCACCATGAACATGCTTGGGGGAGTGAAGGTGTAGATCCAGGTAATCTTAACCTCGACACTAATGGAGATGAGTCAGCTTCACGCCCCGACCGTATTATCTCAATGGAAGGAGTCTCTGGTACCCATTGGACAGGAGGCTGGGTGACCCTCGGATCTGCTCTGGGAAGTATGGAGAAGAGAAAAATCTCTTGGCCTTGCCGGGAATCAAACTCCGGTTCCGAGTCCAGACCGCAGCCCGTTACTATATCGACTGAGCTATCTCAGCTATATCTATTGTAAAAAAAAAGGTAAACCTATCCCTGTAACAGGCTGTGGGGGACCATAGGGTTGTGAGACGTCGAGGCTCCCACATTTTCACTAGACAATCGGCTCACAGATGGCGGTGAGGTTAAGTAAAGCTATCCCTGTAACAGGCCGTGGAGGCCCGTAATGTTGTGAGACGTCGAGGCTCCCACAGTATCTGGACAATCGGCTCACAGATGGCGGTACGGTTGTCAGCCTTATGCACCGGCCGCCCTTTAATCATTTCTGTTAGAGGCTGAGTCGACTTCAGGACCATAGTGCGGCTGGAAGGATTAGGTCAATTGAAAAATCCAATAACTGAATCTTCCAGGGGAGTAAAGCGCGGCCGGCGCGTAAGGCTGACAACCTTGCCGCCATCTGTGACCCGATTGTCTAGAAAATGTGGGAGCCTCAACGTCTCACAGCCCTATGGGCCTCTACGGCCTGTTACAGGGATAGCTTTACTTCTTTTATACGCTTGTATAGATACTGGTGGTGTCGGAGAATGAAGCATAAAAGACAAGCATTTCCTTTAATCCCTTTCGTTTCAAATGCCTTCGCAAAATACAGTTGCATACAAATTCCTTGGAACATTTCAATGTAACTGGAAAAGTTTTCACTCTCATGTCGCTCTTACTGAAACCGTTGCGCCGTCAACGTTACTTGGTTTTCCATAGACACCGGATAAAATTCTAACGTTATTTGTTTATTTAATTCCGTCTAACGCTCCTTCTCAAATGTCTCCCCCCTCCCCCCTGCAACCCTTTCTTTATACGTAAACATTACTTCACCGAGCTCCTCTCGCGGCAGCTTTTGTTACTACGTTTAAAATCTTTATTCTGTATCAGATTTCAGTTTCTTGTCTGTGGGGTTACGAAAACGAAACCCTTGTGGAATCTGAAATTTTAAAAAGCATTAAGCATCTTTCGTTACACATTTAAGAATAAGAGAGGATTAAAGCCAGGGGCGGAAATGGCTCTTCAGAACTAAGTAGTCGCTGTAGCAGAGATGGAAGGAACGCGAGGATTGAAGAACGCATTTCGTAAAGGGAATTAAAAAGTATTTTTTTCCCATCTTTGCGGTGGGCTATCCATTCCTAGATGGCTCGTTGTTGAGAATGACACTTGATGGTGGAAACATTATTTTAAAAATTTCTGGAATTAAGCAGCCTCCTCTGTGGTCTAGTGGTCAGAGTTGTTTATTAAAAACATGTTGCCTAGCAACGAATGTTCTTTCGTTGTCAGCGTCGAGGTCGTTACCGAGCAACAGCTTTACACGCTACAATATATATCTTGAGATTTGAATTTTGGAGTTCTTAGTTCGAGTGTCGGTCAGGGCACTGATTATCTTGACGGATTATTTTCTTGCTTTTCTTTACGTTCTCCAAATGAATGATGTGATGGTATATGAAAATAGTCCACGACCGCTTCCTTCGAAGTATTTTTTTTTTTGTATTTCATTGTTCATTAGTTATTCTGCCATTCGACGCTATTAAGTTACTGACGGCGTCGCTAAATCATAAATAAACTGTTTTTTAAAGAAATCGGTATCTTAAAATCACACACTTTTCCAGTACCCACACTCAGTATGTTACTAAATTGCTGAAAGGCAATGTCTATAAAACTTATGCAATAACTACTGGTTAATACTGTTCGAGTTAATTTAACGGATAATTACTGTGCACTGACAAATGTTAGCAACTTGAAGGACGTACTGTTAGCCGTATAATTCTGGGCACCACAAATTCCACAAAGGGATTCACCGGAATTCGATCCACGAACCTCAAATGCGGAAAGCCTGTAAGCCAGTGCATATTCAATTGGCTGAACACATTTCAGAGATTCCTGCGCCCAAATGCAATGCCACTCGCATGTGCTGCTCAAAATGCACTGCGCGTCGGGAACTGAGATGAAGAAAACGCTGGAGTTTGGGGAACAGGGGAAGAAGAAAATGCTTCATGTATGATAAGAGGGGAAGAAGGAAATGCTGCATGTCTGAGAACATGAGAAGAAAAATGCTGGACGTCGGAGAACAGGGGAGAAGAAAATGCTGCATGTCTGAGAACAGGAGAAGAAAAATGCTGGACGTCGGAGAACAGGGGAGAAGAAAATGCTGCATGTCTGAGAACAGGAGAAGAAAATGCTGCACGCCTGAGAACAGGAGATGAAGGAAATGCTGCATGTCTGAGAACAGGGGAAGAAGGAAATGCTACATGTCTGAGAACAGGAGAAGAAGGAAACACTGCATGTCTGAGAACAAGAGAAGAGAAATACTGGACGTCGGAGAACAGGGGAGAAGAAAATGCTGCATATCTGGGAACAGAAGACGAAATTGCTGCACGTCTAAGACCAGGAGACGAAATTGCTGCACGTCTAAGAACAGGAGAAGAAGGAAATGCTGCATGTCTGAGAACAGGAGAAGAAACATGCTGGACGTCGGAGAACAGGGGAGAAGAAAATGACGGTGGTTTGAGAATAGGAGGAAGAAGAAAACGCCGAACGTCTGCGAACAGGAGAATAAGAAAATGCTGCATGTCTGGGAACAGGAGAAGAAAATGCTGCATATCTCACAACAGGAGAAGAAAATGCTGCATATCTCACAAAAGGAGAAGAAGATGCTGCAGCCATCTGCTCACGCTGGTTCATTGCTCGCAGATGTTTATACCCTGAAGATGGAGGCGATACGTTCCTCCGAAACGTCGGTTTACACAATATCTACACGGCCCCACATCCCAGAAGACGGCATTCTTCACAGTCACTGCCGTGAAAACCTCAGATATTACATGGATCCTTTCCAGTTTATCGTCGATCCATAGGCTGGCTACTGAAGGCGTCAGTATGCTCTTACAGCCCACAGAAGTCATAAGAGGGATAAGCTAGAAGATTAGTTCCCATGCTTGGCACTTGGAGCGCTAAATTCTATGGATTTGTCGCGTCGGTTGCCTGCGTTCTGAAATGCTGACATGTCTGATCCCGTCCTCCCGTGCCCACGTCATTAACACGTGACATGAAATACCTTACTGCAAAAGGAGGACAGAAAAATCGTTTCGCGGCGAATGATCCCAATTTCGTGTTCGCTATTCTTGTCGGTTACGCCCTTCGACGTAAATTCTTTTGAAAATTTCGTTAAAATGAAATAAAAAATGCGAACATCTTGTCAAATTAAATTCTTCATTGTAATAATTATAATAATCGTGAGTCGGTATAGCAGCTGGCTACAGGATGGGCGACAGAGGGGTTGGAGTTCGAGTACCGGTAGGGCAGAATTTTCTATTCTCCATATCGTCCAGACCGGCTCTGGGCCCACCCAGCCTCCTATCCAGTGGATACCGGGGGCTTTTTACCCGGGGATAAAGCTGTAGGGGCGTGAAGCTGACCACTCACCTCCAGCTAGTACCGAGGTTAAGAAAATGTGGATCTATACGTCCACTCCCCGAGACGCCTTCATGGCTTAACGCTTAATTAGTTAAGCACAGGGACAAATTTTTTTTTTTTCTTGGCGCTACAGCCCCAGTGGGCCTAGGCCTACCTCCATGAACTTCTCCGTACACTTCGGTTTTTCTAGATCTTACATATTCGGTAGGACTCCTTGGGCGG